CCCCTGCTACTCTGTCCCTCAAAGTGTTTGACTGTATTCAGGAAACTTCTTAGCTTTGGTTTAGTCCAGTTGTGCTGACTTCCCCTGTAGGGTGTGCTGTCTTCCCTTCACCTAAGATAATTCTTATCTACTATCTAGTTAGTAAATACTATGTTTATTTTTTGAGGAACTGCCAAATTGTTTTCCACAGCAGCTGTACCATTTTGCATTCCCACCAGCAATGGACGAGGGTTCCAATTTCTCCACATCCTCGCCAACATTTGTTGTTTTTGGGTTTTTTTTTTTTTCATCTCAGCCATCCTAGTAGGGGTAAAGTAGTATCTCATTGTGGTTTTGATTTGCACCTCCCTATAGGGTCGCTATGAGTCGGAACTGACTTGATGGCAACAGGTTTTTTGGTTTAATGGCACAGTGGTTAAGAGCTGTGGCTGCTAACCAAACAGGCAGCAGTTTGAATCCACCAACCACTCCTTGGAAACCCTGTGAGACGGTTCTGTTCTGTCCTATAGGGTCACTATGAGTTGGAATTGACTCGATGGCAATGGGTTTTGTCTTTTTGGTGGGTTTTTTTTTTTTGGTTAATGGCTAATGAGGTTGGGCATCTTTTCATGGCCATTTGTATATCTTCTTTGGTGAAATATCTATTCAAATCTTTGCCCATTTTTTGATTGGGTTGTGTGTCTTTTTCTTGTTAAGCTGTAGGAGTTCTTTATATATTCTAGATATTAAACCCTTATCTGATATATGGGTCCCAAAAATTTTCTCCCAATCTGGAGGTTATCTCTTCACTTTGCTGATAAAGTCCTTTGATGTACAGAGTAATGCTTTTTCAACTTCCTGACAATTTTATAAGAAAATACTCGTCACAGAGACTGCTAGTTGTCCCGCAATGCCTGTTCTCCCTTTCTTCCTTAGTAACAGAACCCCAAAATTTTAATTGAGCTCATGGACTCACTTGCAGCCAGGCACAGCACATGACTCAGTCCTTGTCAATGGGATATAAATGTAAGTGTGATGTGCTACTTTAGGAGGAGGAAGCACACCCTTCTTTGCTCGTTCCTACGTGGACTTCATGGCTGGAATGCAAGCAGTTGTCGTGGACTATAAGGACGAAGCCACAAGGTGACCCACAGAGCAACTAGATGTTCAGAAGAGAGAATTAAACGTGGATCTTGTTTAAACCACTTCTATTTTGGTTTTTAGTCATGTACCACCTGAAACAATGGTTTTACTCTATTTTGCCACTAAAACATAGTTATTATTTTTCTTTCCTTAAGAATAAATCCAGAGATCCTTTATTATCATCATCTATGTAAAATGTGCATCTTAATTTCCGCTTACCCAGGTCTGCACTTTGCGCGTCTTTCCCACGAAGGATGACTAAGTTAGCAATGGAAGTGTTAAAATGTAGCTCTTTGTTGAAAGACATTTTGCCAAGAGCAGGAAGTCCTGATAAAGGGGGCCGTACCTGCCAATTGATACCTACCAAAAAAAGGGAAAAAAGGAAAAGACTTTATAAATGGCTTTGAACAAGAGAAGAGAAGTATCTTGTGGTATATGCATTTTACATAAATTTTTATTTGATAGGTAAAAGCTGTTTTTCCTCTAAAACAAAAAAACCAAACCTGTTGCTGTCGAGTCGATTCCGACTCATAGCGACCCTATCTATACGACAGGGTAGAACTGCCCATAGGGTTTCCAAGGAATAGCTGGTGGATTCAAACTGCCGACCTTTTGGTTAGCAGCCGTAGCACTTAATCACTGTGCCACCAGGGCTCCGTTTTTTCCCCTAAAAGTTTAAAAATTATTATCTTGTCAACATAAAGTTATTCAAACTACTCAATTCTGAGAAAGACATGAAATAGTCATCATCAAATATTAATGGATGTGGTACATGCATACGATGGAATTCTGCTCAGCAATAAAGAGGAACTAACTACTGATATGGAGGCCTGGTGGCACAGTGGTTAAACATTCACCTGCTAACCAAAAGGTTGGCAGTTTGAATCCACCAGCCACTCCTTGGAAACACAGTTTACAAGGCTGAATCTCAAAGGCATTATTGTAAGTGAAACAAGCCAGACTGAAAAGACTACATACTGTATGATTCCATTTATATGACTGTTACGGGTTGAATTCTGTCCCCCAAAAATACGTGTTTTAAATCCTAACCTCTATGCCTGTGATTATAATCTCATTTAGGAATGGGTTGTCTTTGTTATGTTAATGAGGCAGGATTAGCATAGGGTGTATCTTTTTTTAAAAAAAACATTTTATTGTGCTTTAGGTGAAAGTTTACATAGCAAATTAGTTTCCCATTCAATAATTCATACACAAATTGTTCCATGACACTGGTTGCAATCCCTGCAATATTTCAGCACTCTCCCCATTTCTACCCTGGGTTCCCTGTTTCCATCTGTCCGGTTTCCCTGCCACTCCCTGTCTTCTCATCTTTGCTTTTGGACAAATATTGCCCTTTTGGTCTTGTACAGTTGATAGTTCTCAGGAGTACATTCTTCACAGGTGCTATTGTTTATTTTGTAGGCCACACTATTATTTGGCTGAAAGCTGAACTCCAGGAGTGGCTTCAGTTCCAAGTTAGAAGGGTGTCTTAGGGCAACAGTCTCAGGGGTTCCTCCAGTCTCCATGAGACCAGTAAATCTGGTCTATTTTTAAGAATTTGATTTTTGTTCTACATTTTTCTCCCTTTCTAACCGGGACCTTCCATTGTATTCCTGGTCAGAAATATTAGTAGTGGTAGCCAGACACCATCTATTTCTTCTGGTCACAGGCTAGAGGAGGCTGTGATTCATGTGGGCCATTAGTCCTTTGGACTAATTGCTTCCTTGGATCTTTGGTTTTCTTCATTTTCCTTTGCTCCAGACAAGAAGAGACCAATAGATCTATCTTAGGTGGCCGCTCAGAAGCTTTTAAGACCCCAGATGCTACCTACCAAACTAGAATGTAGAACATTATGAACAATATTATGCCAATTCACCTAGCTGTCCCTTGAGACTATGGTCCTTAGCCTTCAAGCCTGGTAATTCAGTCCCACGAGGTATTTGGTTATGTAGTGTTGGGTGTATCTTGAGTCAACCTCTTTTGAGATATAAAAGAGATTGAACAAGCAAGCAGAGCAGAGATGGGGGAAGAGAGATGCTAAGCCACGTGAACATTGCTCAGAAGCAGAAGCTCAGAAGAGACAAGGACCTTCCTCCAGAGATGACAGAGAGAAAGCCTTCCCCTAGAGGCGGCACCCTGAATTTGGACTTCTAGCCTCGTAAATTGTAAGAAAATAAATTTCTATTTGTTAAAGCCACCCAAACCAAAAAGAAACCCATTGCTGTTGAGTCAATTCCAACTCATAGCTACCCTATAAGACAGAGTAGAACTGCCCCATAGGGTTACCAAGGCTATAAATCTTTACGGAAGCAGACTGCCACATTCTTTGTCCCACGGAGCAGCTGGTGGGTTCGAACCACACACCTTTCAGTTAACAGCCAACTGCTTAACCACTGCACCACCAGGGCTCCTTTTAAGCCACCAACTTGTGGCATTTGTTATAGCAGCGATAGATAACTAAGGCAATGACATTCTGGTAAAGGTAAAACTATAGGGATAAAAATCAGATCAGTGGTTGCCGAGTACTGGAAGTGGAGGGAAGGGATTAGGTCCAAAGAGTTACAAGGAATCTTTCTGGGAAGATGGAAATATTCTATCTTAATTGTGGTGATGATTACACGCCATATAAGTTTGTCAAAATGCATAAAACTATACTCCTAAAAAGGATGAATTTTACTTTATATACGTTAGTAAAACACAAAAAAATATTAACGGTTGTAGAAACACAAAACAAAAATAGGACTGAAAATTCACTAGTCATATGAATATTTTAAGAAAATACTCTCTTGCCTATAGACTGGGAAAAATATCTTTGAGAACAACATTTCTGATAAGGATCTAATCTCTAAAACATACAGAAAACATCAACAACTCAACAACAAAAAGACAATCCAATTAAAAAATGGGCAAAAGACATGAACAGATACTTCATCAAAGATGACATTCAAGCAGCCAACAAACACATGAAAAGATGGTTGCGATCATCAGCCATTAGAGAGATGCAAATCAAAACTACAATGAGATACCATCTCACCCCTGCTAAATGGCACTGATAAAAAACAAAACAAAACAGAAAACAACAAATGCTGACAAGGTGATGGGGAGATTGGAACCCTTAACCACTGCTGGTGGGATTGTAAAAATGGTACAACCACTTTGGAAAACAGTATGGCACTTCCTCAAAAAGCTAGAAGTAGAAATACTTTATGATCCATCAATCCCACTTCTAGGTATATACCCTAGAGATCTAACAGCAGTGACACAAATAGACATATGCATATATATGTTCATTGCAGTATTATTCACAATAGCAAAAACATGGAAACAACCTAAGTGCCCATCAACAGATGAATGGATAAACAAAATGTGGTACAAACATAAAATGGAATACTATGCAACCATAAAGAATAATGATGAGTCCTCAAAACATCATATAATGTGAATGAATCTGGAGGACGTCATTCTGAGTGAAACAAGTCAATCACAAAAGGACAAATATTGTATGATTGCACATTTATAAAAAGATAAGAATAGATACAGTGAAACCTGTGATAACCAGAACTCAACGGGACTACCTTGTTTTTCCATGTCTCACAAGTTTTCCTTCCACCTTTGACAGGGTACAGTCTTACCTCTCTTCTACGCACCTTTGAGTGGAAAATATTTTAGTTTTCCTTCTTTGACAGGATTCTGCCTTACACCAATTCCGGCTTTCACAGGTTTTACTGTATATACACAGAGACTAATGCTCGTTGGAAGTTACCAGGGATTGAAGGGAGGGGGAAGGACTCTCAAGATAGTAGACACTTGTTAGTTTTGGTGATGGGAAAGGTAGCATCGAATATAGGTGAAGTACGCACAGCTTGACCAACATAAGTGATGTCACCAAGAAGTGCACAATAGAAAAGGATGTCTTTGGTAAAGGATATGACAAGTATAATCTGGCAACAACAACCAAAAAAATCTGTGTGTGGTTACACAAATATGTATATAGGCATATAAGTATACGAGTACGACTATGTGGGTACATATGTAGGCATAGATAGAAGTATCTATAGGCATATGTACATACAGATATGTGTGTGCACACATGGATATGAACACACATAATAAACCACATAGGGGACACAGGTACGAATACTTCTTAAACATAACCAAACACCTCGCAAGATTGGTTTTTGGGGCTTGAAGACTTAGGACCATACTCTCAAGGGACGACTCAGTCAATTGGCATAATATAGTTCACAAAGTTCATGTTTTATATCCCAATGTAGTAACTAATGTCTGGGGTCTTAAAAGCTTGTGAGTAACCATCTAAAATGCAACTATTGGTTTCTACTCATCTGGAACAAAAGAGAAAGAAGGAAACCAAAGGCTTAGGGAAGAAATTAGTCTACAGGACTAATGGTCCACACGAACCACGGCCTTGTCCACCTTGAGACCAGAACTAGATGGTACCTGGCTACCACTACGGACTGTTCTTATCAGGGCAACATTAGCTAGATCCTAACAGAATGGGAGAAAAATGTGGACCAGAACTCAAATTCTTAAAAAGTCCAGACTGGTTGAGACTAGAGGACTCCCTGAGACTATCACCCTGAGATATGCTTTAAACCTTAAACTGAAATTATCCCTTGAGGTCACCTTTTAGCTAACTAACAGATTGGCTCACAAAATAAAGAATATCATCTGTGAGTAATGAGCTTCTTTAAAAAAAAAATCATCTAATCATCTATCGGGATCAAATAGTCAAAAATTACTCTAGAGCAAAGATGAGAAGGTAAGGGGGCAGGGAAACAAGAGTACTGGAAATGGTACAACCAGAACAGAATGAATGAGAATAATGACATATTGTGAAAAATGTAACCAATATGACTGAATAATTTGTGTAAAAATTGTTAAATGGGAACCTAATCTGCTTTTACTTTCATCTTAAACACAATAAAATATTAAAAAAAGAAAATACTCTCTTAAATGATACATAGGATAGGGCTAACATTCAGTGCATAGTAACAGATTGATTTTCAGCAAAAATAGAAATACAACAAATCAAAAATTTGGTATGCTTAACTCAAGAAGACCAATAAGTCAATAAAAAACTGGGGAAAGATCTGAATAGAAATTTCACCAAAAAACATACACAAATGGCTAATAAGCACATGAAAAACTGCTCAACATCATTAGTCATTAGGAAAATGCAAATGAAAACCACAATAGGGTATCACTACACACCTATCAGAATGGCTATAATCAAAAAGACTAACAATACCAGATGTTGACCAGGATGTGGAAAAACTAGAACCATCATACATTGCCGGTGGGAATGTTAATGGTGCAGCCACCTTGGAAAACAGTTTAGC